CCCCCCCCCCCCCCCCCCCCCCCCCCCCCCCCCGGGCAAAGGTGGAATTAAAATCTAACCTAAATAATTGTAACGGTATGTGGGAATGACCTTGGGAGGCAGGAGAAGAGCCTCAGACGGGAGAACTGTCATGCAAAAGGTATTCCTCAGAAGGAATCAGGGCATGGCAAACGTCTCAGAAGGGACCCTCCCTGCTTTTTGGGGAAGTAAAGGGAAAAGAGGGGAGGAGTGCTTGCAGACTTGCAAGATGGATGTCAGCCCTTCATGGTAATCCAAACAAGAAGCAGAAACCATGGGTCAGCCTTGCGAGGTAGTTCAGACAAGAAGCACACCCAGAAGTACTAGCTCTAATTTTATTATTAACAGAATCTTGCAAGTCTGACAGTACATCTCTCCCCCCTCGCCTTTACAGTCCAAGAAACTAGGGAGGATCCCTTCTGAGATGTTTGCCATGCCTGATTCCTTCTGAGGGCTCAGCTGCTTCTTATCTGACCATTGCCTGCTCTGTGGCTCTTCCTCCTGTCTCCCAAGGTCCTTCCCGCCTACCATTACGCCATGAGTACTAGCACTACTTTTATTGCAAAGTTACATTAACAGAAACTTGCAAGTCTCCAAGCACTCCTCCCCTCTTTTCCTTTTACTTTCCCAAAAACTAGGGAGGGTCCCTTTTGAAACACTTCCCACGTCCCCCCCCCCCAGCTTCTGTGGAATGAGATACCTTTTGCATGACGGTTGTCTAGTCTGCGGCTTTTCCTCCTGCCTTCCAAGGTCATTTCCACATGCCATTACAATAATCCCCTAATTTATAGGAGCTATTAATATCAAGTGGGGGAGCGTGGGAAGCAAATTGATGTGAGTCGTCTTGTGCACAAGCTTAAGCTGGGAGTGCCAATGCTTATATGTTCACCAGAAGCTGGTTGGGGTTGAAAACTGGTGTATCTTTATATGCCCCGCAAGAGCTACTGATATGAACAGTTGTACCAAGCTTCTTCCACTGTACCTATAGCTGCACTGTCTAGGGGAAAAAAAAGTATAATTGTTCTTCCTCGGAGCCAAGGAAAAGAGATTTGTTATTTTCCGGTTCTCTGATAAATTATGCATGCCAACGCTCACTTTATCCCCTCTCAGAGTGCTTGTAAAAGCTGCATTTGACACAGACTTCTCTGTCCTTGAAGGGGGGAGCCGAGCTGTGCCCACCACGGGAACATTGAGATGAAAGGGGTTGCTGAAGAAAGTTTCAGCGAATCCGAAGGATCCATCGAAAACATTGAAGGACTTTCTTGAGCCGTAAAAGATAAACCGAAACTCGGCTGGCTAATTACGTGGCTCCTGTTCTTTTTTTCTGTATGGTCTTGGAAACCAGCAAAGGGGAGTGATTTGTTACAAATGCACTAATGGTGTCTAGAAAAAACCAGGTTTGTGTGAGTTTGCAATAAACCAGTGTTTTTCAAACTTGGGAGCTTTAAGATGTGTGTGGGCTTCCACTCCCAGAGTTCCCCAGCCAGCATGCTTTAAGATGGGTGGACTTCCACTCCCCATGCTGTCTGGGGAATTCTGGGAGTGGAAGTCCACACATTGAAAAGTTGCCAAGTTTGAAAAACACTGCAGTGAACCCTTTTAAGTGACCATTAGAGGCTTGGCACATCTCAAAAACACAGCCCCGTCAGTGCTTGGATCCCCTGACTACTGGATTGATAACTTACAACTCGTGGGTTCGATATCACACGCAAGGCTTTTGGCAATTTGTAGTAATTTTTTAAAAATGGAAATCGTTCCCTCCAAATTCTGCACATGCACACACCCTGGTCTATGTCAGTGTTCCTTAAAGTGCCGTCCTTGGATTTCTGGGGGTCCCCCAAGACCCTCTCGGAGGTCCTCAAAATCAGATTGATTTGCCAGCCTATCTTGAAAGATAATACAATATTAAAATCAGCAGTGACTGCGTCCATTTTAATTTTTAACACAGTAAATATGGATAAATATCACCCATACAGACAAAAGTTCTTTTGGGGTCCTCCATATTTTTGAAAGTGGGAAGGGGTCTTTGGAGAATTTTTTTTTCACAAATACTGGTCTGTTTCCCTTTATTTTTCACTTTGACTTGACTTGACTGGGGGAGGTAGAAGAACCTGGAACGCAGATGATTCCTCCATTGAGTCCCCCAAAAGCCAGTTTGTTCCCCTTTTTCTCCACTCTTCCAGGAGAGGATTTTTATTCCAGTCCTTTCTCCTCTCTCTGCTGAAATTTTGGCAGGACAGGTTCTCGTACAGACAAGGAAGTGGGTTGAGAAACATTGATGCTTCACCCTTACACGAATCATGTCGTTGGAGAGCACGGAAAGAAATCTGCAGCCCTGGTAGATCCCCAATATTGAGGGCTGCTTCCCCGCCCCTCAGGGAATCATTCTGGATCAGAGGAAAGCAGTTTGGGAGCCAAAAAAGTGAAGCCATGAACCTTGGATGCCAGATCCTCTTTCCCCCACATTTTCACCTTTTTAGGGTTGATCATCGCCTACAAAGAACAGCCTTGCAGTGTTTCTCAACCTTGGCCACTTTAAGATGAGTGGACTTCAACTC